ATGAATTTCAAGCCTTTGTTCTCTACACATGGCTCTTCGGATAGGAGCCTACGTTACTAAACAAGAAAACCTATTATTTATCATTAGAAATTTGTATAATTGAATGGTTGTTCATGTGGTTTCATTGCTGATGTGTTGGGTAATGAAGGATCTTGCTATTCAAACTCATTATTTCCAGTTCAGATCTCAACAACATTTATTTTACAACTCCAGTGTCTGCTATGGCCCATGGGTCTGTTAGTATTGTGCATGCTTCAATTTGAGATGGATCCGAAAACAAAAAAGCTGTCCTGCAGACATTTTGATTTTGCATGCAAAGTTGGTTACCGCTATATCATATCTTCGGAAGTACTGAAGTGACCAGGCCTTCTTTTCTTTCCATGTAAAGATTGTTCAAGCAATTCAATTTTTGAAAAGTACTAAAGGGACCATGACTCAATGAAAGATCCCCTCAATTTGAAAGGTATCGGAAAATTTAGCGCAAGCTATTCATAAATCATGTTGCAGTAAGGTTTGCATGCTCACATTGGTACTGGGACATGTGCTTGTTCAAGAACAGAACCAAAGAATTCAGATAAAACCTCATTCCATAAAGTTGATATGGCGGGTGTATTATGATTGTTCCAGGACTTCTTGTTTATTGTAAATTGTACCATTTCAGTGATGCAAGAACACTTTTTATTGGTCAACAACCATGGGTTATTAGACAAGAGACTGCATATACATGCCCCAGTAATAAATAACATCTAACAATAGCCCCATATCTAGATCACTCATTGATGTAGTAGAATAGATATAATCAAGAAGATAGGGTGTTGTGATAATCAAAAAGATAGGGTGTTGTGATAATCAAGAAGATAGGGTGTTGTGATAATCAAGAAGATAGGGTGTTGTGATAATCAAGAAGATATGGTGTTGTGATAATCAAGAAAATATGGTGTTGTGATAATCAAGAAGATATTATGTTGTGATAATCAAGAAGATAAGGTGTTGTGATAATCAAGAAGATAGGGTGTTGTGATAATCAAGAAGATAGGGTGTTGTGATAATCAAGAAGATATTGTGTTGTGGTATTGAAAACTCAGGATTTCTTTCCTGGCATTTTCGCATCCCCATAATATATTCCACTATATATAATACATATACATTTGTTGATCAATTCTTATTCCATACTTGTATCCTGAAGTTATAAGTGAAACTGATGTAGCTAAACAAAAGTATCACTGAATAAAATTGAGACTTGCATACAAATAATCAATAGGTGTTAGTAGCACACAATCAATAACACTCCATTATGGTACAATATGCAATTAATTCTAGTTAATCAGGTGTTTTGTAAACTTAATATAGGAGTCAAATTGTTAACGCTGATTTCAACTCGGGAAGTCTGATGTCTGCTAACTACAGCTACACTACCGGCCTGATAATCTAAAATATTACAGCGACTCGAACAATTCCAATTTGTCAACAGTAAAACCATAATTAGGCCTTGTGAAATCCAACCATACAATGATACCCATATCATGATGAGTCATGACGAGGTGTGTGCATACCAGACAGTCAATTTGGAGTAGATAATTGTGATGCAATGATTTATTTAAATAAGCTGCTGCACAATTTACTGAAATTAAGTAACTGAATAGAAAATTTATAAAGCTTTTCAATAATCAATATCATCTCTATATCAGCAGCAACTGTTATCACATCTAGTGTTTACTCTTTATATAGTTACATACCTGTACCTGAATGCTAATTTGTATCTCTGTAGCAAAGGTAACCGTTCCCTCATCAGCTGTTTATAATATAGTTATATAAAATATTGGTATGTTTATGTGAAGCTCTTCATCAGCAGTAAACTGTTCCCTCATCAGCTGTGTATTAATTATATAGATATTGGTATGTTTATGTGAAGCTCTTCATCAGCAGTAACTGTTCCCTCATCAGCTGTGTATAAATTATATAGATATTGGTATGTTTATGTGAAGCTCTTCATCAGCAGTAACTGTTCCCTCATCAGCTGTGTATTAATTATATAGATATTGGTATGTTTATGTGAAGCTCTTCATCAGCAGTAACTGTTCCCTCATCAGCTGTGTATTAATTATATAGATATTGGTATGTTTATGTGAAGCTCTTCATCAGCAGTAACTGTTCCCTCATCAGCTGTGTATTTAATTATATAGATATTGGTATGTTTATGTGAAGCTCTTCATCAGCAGTAACTGTTCCCTCATCAGCTGTGTATTTAATTATATAGATATTGGTATGTTTATGTGAAGCTCTGCATCAGCAGTAACTGTTCCCTCATCAGCTGTGTATTAATTATATAGATATTGGTATGTTTATGTGAAGCTCTTCATCAGCAGTAACTGTTCCCTCATCAGCTGTGTATTTAATTATATAGATATTGGTATGTTTATGTGAAGCTCTTCATCAGCAGTAACTGTTCCCTCATCAGCTGTGTATTTAATTATATAGATATTGGTATGTTTATGTGAAGCTCTTCATCAGCAGTAACTGTTCCCTCATCAGCTGTGTATTTAATTATATAGATATTGGTATGTTTATGTGAAGCTCTTCATCAGCAGTAACTGTTCCCTCATCAGCTGTGTATTTAATTATATAGATATTGGTATGTTTATGTGAAGCTCTTCATCAGCAGTAACTGTTCCCTCATCAGCTGTGTATTAATTATATAGATATTGGTATGTTTATATACATGTGTATCTGTTTATCAGCGGTAACTGTTCCCAAATATAAATCTCATCATTTGTATGACAAAAACATTTCCTGATATGAAGTGTATGTAATGAATTATTTAAAGGATTGACGGGCATGGCAACCTCAAGTTATTGGCTGTGTACCTTAGGGGTGGCCACTAACATTGTACAGCGGGCCAGACATTGATTTACATAGGAGAAAGTCAGTTCAAGCCAGAAATACTGAGTCCAGATTAAAAAAGATAATTCTTATGAATGAAGAGATTTCGTGTTCCACCTATGGTCAAATAGTCATGCTATTATCTCTTCATCATCACACTGCCATAAATCTGGAATTTGCTTGGTGATGGATACAACCTAAATGTAATTATTCATTGAAACCTAGAATTGGATCATTTTTTGCTGACCTTGAGTGTAGCTTGAAGTAGGCTGTGTGTATTGGTATCCCACTTGACATCAAGATTCATTAGCCTCTTGGCGTAGTATTGATCAGTAAAACAAGGCTACGATTTATCACTTGTAGGGTGATTATAGTTGGGTTACACAATCCCTCTTGACAAAGTCTATGGTACCGATTGAAAACAGGGTTTAATCGTAAAGGTTCAGACAATCCCTCTTGACAAAGTCTATGGTACCGATTGAAAACGGGGTTTAATCGTAAAGGTTCAGACTTTGTAATCATACACTGTTTGGAGACAGTGTTGTTTTTCCGCTGTTTGACAGTTCCATTATATTTGGTCTGTCATTTAGCAGTGTATATTGGTATTGATCAGACTGTGTGTGTGGCTATAATACACAGACAGATATGTAAAGCATTATCTTACTTTAGGCTGATTTATCAGCTGCTGACATGCCAGGTCCATTCAAATGGCCACCTCGGAGGGGGTAACATTTGTGGGGGTCTAGGATTTACGAGAAGGCATACTAAATTTGTGAGGGGGGTGGGGGGTCCATTTGACATATCATTGCTGCATGATGCCTGCAATAGAACTGGTCGCCCTAGGTATAGGTTTCAGTGTCTAGAACAGTCATTTGAGGGAGAGGGCATCCATACCTGAGTCTTGGACATAGTACATGGTCATTTGAGGGACAGAGACACAAGACAAAAGAAATTGTCATTTTTAGGAAAAGGGCACACACACTAGAGTCTAAGAACATAGTCATCTGTTGGAGAGGGCCCACATACTAGAGTCTGGGACTTAGTCATCTGAACATGAAGAAGAGGGAATACACACCAGGGTTTGGGACATGGTCATCTGAGAGGTTGGACACTTACACTAATCTGAAACATGGTCACCTAGGAAGATAAACAATAATAATTTAATCTTGCCTGTAACAAGCATTTTCATTGGCTTAACAATTTATGTTATCAGCCCATAACGTAAAAAATGACGTCGTCGTTTGTAACGTCTCTTTTGATTGGCTGATACTGCAGCGCAATAATTTCTAAGAGAAAAGAGTCCATGAATAAAAGTGGATTTCCACAGGGATTGTGTATAGTAGATTAAATTATAAGGATTAACTTGAATATATTTTATATTTTTCATGTTATGGAGCTATCACACAAAAAACTGGAGTGTACTCTCATCATAAACCGCTTCACGGTTTATTTAGAGTACACTCCTTTTTTTTGTGTGATATCTCCATAACATGAAAAATATATTCAAGTTAATCCTTAATTACAGTCTGGAAAATAGTAATCTGAGGGACAGGAAACACACATGGGAACATCTTAGATAGAGGGCATTGATATCAGATCCTCCTAGGTGCACTAATTGCTCAACATCTGCACCATTTGTCATGCACCACTTGATTCAGAAGTAAACATCCCCGTCCCCATGCTTTCTAGATCTAAGATTGAACTGTTTTGTGAGGAGGTAGATGAATGATGTCTACTGTAGATCTGTACATTCCATTTTTATTGCACATTTTGTTATCAGTGTTCAGCTTCTATTGATGAATTGAGTATTGTATGAATAATTGATCTGTTATACATTCCAGGCGAGCAATAATCTTCATTGCAGATATCTTATGAATGATATAGTAATGTTGTGATTGGTTTACAATGATGAATGTTATTATCTTTAATATCTTTCAGGATTTTCATTGCTTACAGTGAAGACGGATTCTGTTTTTAATGGTGTGTTGCAGGTTTTCCAAACAGTCCTCCTCTGTGGAGTTGGGAGTTATACGAGTCAGCAGTAGTACATGGTTCAGTTTATTAATGAAATGGTTTTGGAAAAAGTAGTATTTTAAAGGCACCTTTTGGTTCATTTTCAGATATGGGTCTTTTTGGAGAATGTCCATCACAAGATGAATTCTACCTTGTTGTTTGTGAAAAGTGTGACAAAGTTGTCAAACCTAAAGCATTCAAACACCACCTGCGTAAGTAGCCTTACTCATAAACATCCATCAAGCTGGCCAAGGGTCAGATTTGGTGATCAATTTGGTAAAAAATATATTGATTTTGTTGATTTATTATGAAAATGTCAATTACTTGTAGCCTTACATTTGTTGTTTAATAGCCTGGTAATAAGTATGCATATATTCATTAGTATTTAATACATAATATAATGAACCTGAGTAGTAACACTTTCTGATAAAGCATTAAACATTGTATTTTAGGGCAATTTTCCCTTGTTTAGTATGAAGGTATGAATCTGATAGCCAATTTCAAATCCCAAAATGTGAAAAAAATGACATTGACCGACTTCTTCATCACATGTAAAACTTCAGGTTCTCGTTGGTTGTTTTGTACGTATATACATCATTATTGACTTGCCTTTCTTGTTGTTTTTTGGGGCAGTCCAAAATTTAATGTGAAAATTACAGGAGATCAACAGAGACCATATTCATGAAACCATTCTCATGCTTAAATATGAACTCAAGAATAACTTTCCCTGTTTCGATGTGTTTTTCAATTAAAGGTTATTGTCGGCTATAAGAGGAAATCACTTTGTCCTTCCTGCCAACAATCTGTCAACAATTTAGTTTTTAATCGATTTCATCTTGTGATTATGTAGACCACCAAAATGACTGCCTTTTGAGTCAAACTTAAAATGAAACCTGTTTGAGGGATTAGAAAATGTTATAATCCATTTGAGGTATTCTTGTTTGGATTTTCAAGTACAAATTAGTTGTCATGGAGTGTACAAGTACTTAAATGAAATTAATCTAATGAAAACAATTTCTATCAGAAGCAAGTGTCATCATTGCTACGTCTGAAATTAACGGGAAAATTATTAGCAAGTACCCAACATACATAGTTTCTTTAAGTTTAAAGATCCCTTCCCCATTGCGAAAATTGTGCAATGCAAGAAAACCCTACCTTGCTCGGAACCCTGATTCCCAGTTAATACACTAGCTCTTACCCACTGAGCTATCTAGCAATGTAGCTAGTACTCTGCTCAAGTCGTGCCCCAGTTATAACCAAAGTGAAATCAGGATAGATTACTCTATGTACAGAAAACTACAGTGGAATTCTCTATTGTTTTGCCTGCAGCAGGACAAGGGTTCTTAAGCTCTTTCTAATATTTGTTTTGGTGTGAATCTACCTCACAAATTGATATATGTTTATTGTACATGTGTTACAGGAAATAGACATGGGGAATCTGGAATTCCAAAAACTACTCAGCTCATACTGCAACGGTCAACCCATTCCATGTCCAAACTGTCCGCCACCACTCCATCTCCCACAAAGTCAACCTCTGCTTTCAAACTAGGAACGTCAGTGCCAACAAAGGCTAGTGTCAAAGAGGTTCCTCCTTCAATCACCAATGCACAGAAAATGGGAGCAGCTGTGAATGCCAAACTTAAAAAGAATCACACAATGCCTGTGGTGAAAATGGAGCGAATGGACCTGAACAAGTACTCAGGCTCACACTTAGAATCTACGGGCAAACCTCCATTAACGAACGGGACGTTGAGTAAAAGTTCTAATCTAAATATTACAGGCAAAAATGTGGCCAAGAGTCCTGTCAAACCAGATTCACCAACCTCACCTGTATCGCAATCAATGACATTGGCCTCACTGGTCGTGAGCAGTCCATCTGTGTCGGTGGCTAGTGCCACCCTGACTACTGCCATGACAACGTGTGTGACGACAACCATGACAACCTCGACGGCACTGACATTAGCACCCTTTGTGTCTCCCTCTTCCTCATCAGTATCCAGTAATAATATCTCGATCACTAGTGTCGGTAACACCGCTGTGCTCAGTGCCAACAACAGTCTCAACAGTAGTAGTGGCAGTGAGATCAGCCTGGGTAGTGTGCCCTCGTCTCCTGTACTAACTCCCAACAAACCCAGTAGTGGCACTGCTGCAGCTACCCTAAAGACATCAAGTAATGGTAGCCTGACAAGTAAAGCAGGAAGTGGTGGTGCCAGTCACAGTAGCAGTGTCACTAAAACAGCAAGTGTTAGCAGCATCATTAAGTCAGCAAGTGCTAGTAGTGTAGCTAAGACTAGCAGTCTTGCTAAAGCTAGTAGTAGTGTGGGATCTCTAAGTAAGTCTATCCGTGGCAGTGGTGCGTCCGGGTTAAAGACTGGTGGCAACAGTAATACCAATAATAATGCTGTCAAGAAGAAGCCTGTCATACCTATTCAAAAACCAGATAAACTCATCCCGTGTAAAGGTAAGTGGTGAAAAAAGTTGTTTCATTTTCTGAATTAATTCTCTTAGAACTGCTTTATCATGAACTATGAACAAAACAGTAAAGCAATTTGAATTGAAATAATGATACATCTTTGTTTACAGATCGTGAATTTGATGCAAACAAACATTGTGGTGTGGTATTTGAAGATTCAGGAAAACCTTGCACACGTTCACTCACCTGCAAGGTAAGAGGTCTACAACACGAATTGTACAGATAATCTATGAAGGGTTAACTGTCATGATAGGACACAGTGAACCAACTGGTTTTGGCTCAATAATATATGTTCTTGCAATGCTTTTGTGTCTCTCTAAGCTATATTAAAGCATGTTTTAATTTTGGTTCATATAGCAACAGAAGTTCTCCTTTTGTACAACAAAGTTTCATATGTATCTCTGTAGACTCACGCACTGTCTCTGAGGAGAAAAGTGCCTGGGAGGAGACAACCCTTTGATGAGCTGCTGAAGGAACATCGAGCTGCCAAAGAGGCGTTCCTGAAACAGAGAGCTGAGCAGAAGGCGGCTCAGCTGGCAGCATCCATGGTGACCTGTGGTGGCAACACTGTCAAGCCAGCACAGCCACACGGTGCCTCACCATTAGTGCCACTGGACCGAGGTTTGACCTCTGCGAAAGCTGGCAACCATGGGTCTTCAGTGAACACATCCAAGGAAAGCTCTTTACAATCCCGCCTACTGCACTCTGGAGCCATGTCTCCACAGAAGATATCGAGGCCTGCTGTCGTCAAACCCAACAACATCTGTCTCTCTAGGTCAGTAGGAAGTAGGATGATAAATAATTACAATTTTTTTTCCCCTTTTCTTTTCGCCTTAAACTTATAATGGCATCAGTGCTGTTTCTTGTTGGCCAATTGCCTTTCAAGCAATTTCTGTGTTGTTTTGTTTCATTGCATAAATTAGCACATTTGTGCAAATCAACAAGTTCTCTGTTTAAATGGGGAAATGTATTTTGCTTTTTTTCAGAAACTGCATAACACTTGACAGAGTTAAACCAGTATCTTTCTATCATTTTCAAAGAGAAAGGTTAAAATTAGCTGTAGATAAAAAACTGGTACTGATGCTAATCATTTGACAAGGAGGCACTCTGGTGTACTGCAGGCACACCATATACTTACGGTTGATATTAAGTGCTAGATTTCGTGTCTCCTTTGTAGATCTAGTGGCTCAGGAAGTTTACATTCACCTCTGGCATCTGCTCATCGGGATGAAGCAGGGCCCTCATTTACCCCGGCTCCTGACCCTCAAAGCAGGCTCAGTGATGGGGAGGGGGAAGAGGAAGACGGAGAAGTGGACAAACCTGACCGTTCATACCTCCCCTATCATCCACGTCCAGCAGCAGTAAGTATTAACACTATTTTTACTAGTAGAGGTCACATGGGATTATTTATGGCTGCTTTATGTGTTCTGTTTAATTTACCTGTAAATCTAACAAATGAATTACTGTATACCTTTTAATTTTACCTGGTGTAGGCACCTATTTGCTTGGTTTTGATTTACGATTTGCTAGCAGATAAACTATCGTATGTCTCTAAATAGATCAATAAATTTCATCTCTGTTTCTTTTCAAAATTGTTCTACTTTCTTGCCCATAAGTGCATAATAATAATTTCATTCGTAAATTATTACCGTAAAAACCTGAAAATATCTACATCTATGTAATTGGGCACCCCTAACTTCAAAATTTATTTCAATACAAAAAAACTGCAAATTACACGATTTTTACGGTATGCATTCCTAAAACCTGAAAATCAAATCCCTGGTGAAAACAAGTCAATATACTTAACTTATTTCAGAAAACATTTTGCTTTGTGTTGTAAATTAGTAATTACAAATCCAAAGGTTATTTCTGAAAACTAAGACTTCAATGTGTGTGCATGTGTTCTTAGATAATTCAGATGTGAGAATGTGGTTCAATTAATCACAACATGAAGAAAATTCAAGTTCAATAAATACTCTCAAAATTGTTTAAGCTTTAAAATGAATTTGTCTTTGTTTGACAGACTTGTACATTTGGTGCCCGCCATCATACCTTCAACAGTCGGGGGTGTAATTTGTTCAACAGACGGGTGGATGTGCTCCGGGCTGCTTTCCTGAAAGTCCTCGAGCGACAAATCAATCCACCGCCTCCAAAGTAAGCCTCCAATCATCTGTGACATCTCTCTTTGTTCCTCTCTACCTCACAAGTGCATTCCTGTTTATGCTGGAGAAAAGTAAATCTGTGCTTACAATGCACTTACCTATAGAAAAGTCACCGACTATCATTCTGAAGATGTCACCATCATGTCATTACTTTATGCAGCGTAACCAGGATAACATCATCAATTTGGTCATGAATGCACCCTTGATAATGGCAAAGTCTACTGGTTTCACCATAACGATAGGAAGGTGTAGGAGAAAAGCAATCAATCATTCCTGTGTTGTTAAGACAATTCTCAATCCAGAATATGAATTTTAAAGTTTAGCGCTCGAGAAGTCCTCATGCTTAACTTTAAAAGTCTTACCCTCGGGGATTTTTTTGACATTCCTCTGTCTACACCACCCAGGAATGATAGATTCTATGAGTCCTTACTCTATTTAACATGTTAACAGATTATGTTGTGGGATCAATTCAAGAATTTTTAATGAACAAACAATATCTAGATCGAAGGGAAATAACTTGTTTACTCATTTTATGATTTTTGTGTTTCAGGAAACTTTGTGTGGAGTCAAATTTACCAAAAGAACCTCAGTTCCTGTCCAATTCCAAAGATCCTTATGCGTTTAACTTGATTGACAGTGCCATGGGTGGAGGGACACAGCAGTTCAATGCTGTAGTGAACTCTACCGTTGTAAACAAAAACAATGTGAAACCAAAATCTAAGCCCTCCAGTAGCTGTAGTAGTAGCAGCAGCAGCAGCAGCAGTCGTAACAAGTCACGGGAGGGTGCAGTCAGCAACTCTGGGGGCTCGCGCAGCCCTGCCCACTCAGGAACCTCTACATCTAGTAGTACAGGGGCGGTGAAACGCAAGCGTAGTGGCAGTGGTGGCCCCGCCTCTAGTCCTTGTACCACTTACAACAATGTAGTCGGTGGCAATACCATGTCCATCAACTCGAGTAACACTGCGCTCAACAGTCATACAAACAGTAGTCCCCTCACTGCCATAGCTATCCCCAGTGTCAATCTCAGCTCTGCCACTCTCAGTCACTTCAATGCCAACCTGGCAGGCAGCAAAAACCCAAAGAACAATCTGTTAAAGGACTTTGGACTTGTAGTGCGGAGTATAGATCCCTCGGCTATAGTTAACGGCCAGTACGTGATAGGGGGAACAACTGCTCAAATCATTGATGAAAAAATGCTTCAACAGACTCACATTATCTCTGGTGGGAACAAGGGAAACTCAGCAAAATTAGTCAATAGCCTTGAGGCATTGCAGAAAAACAATTTGATACCTGCCAATGCTATCCTTGTCGACAGTGCTATGCAACCAGGGACAATGCTTACACCCGTTTCTGTAGGCTCTATAGGGTCTGTGCCCAGCAATACCGTCATTTCTCTAGCCAACAGTTCTATGTCTCAGGCACATCCGAGCCCCTCCACAACTCCGAGCCAGCTCTTCAGATCGGTATGTATCAGAGGGACAGCAAGTCAGTGTAAATGAAATAAAGGCATTATATATAGTGTCCAGAGACTTTTCCTGGCAAACTTGATCAATTAAAATAGGCGATAATATAAATTATGAAGCTACCAAATGCAAAGTCATGTTGAATTCATAGCTTTACAAATACAGTATGTTTTGGATTTTAGTGATTGCACAAGTGGTGCCAGAACATTAGATATCACCGGCCAGTATCAATCTTGGGCAGTTTTATGAAATTAGATATGCAAAATATTTTGGCTCTGTTTCAATTGGTAAGAGTTTTCTGATGAATGGGTCTTTATTTCTGTACATGTATAAGGAGATATTACTGAAAATGTAAAGAAGGGTGTACTTTCTATTGTCCTGCCAGTATGCAGTGACTTCAGATATAATTACAATGAAGAATTGGAACACCTGTTTACCACCACACTTGATGTATCAAGCATAGCAATGGAAAATAAACCAGGCATACCTGATGGTATAAAAGATTTCCTGTGATTGATTATGTAATTGTATACTAATATCGAGGGAGCGATGAGTTTCCCATGGACATTGAAATCAACAAAGAGTATTGAATTCATCATGTTGTTATTTGTGCTGTATGTATTTTTACAGGGTTCTCTCAGTCCACAAGTTTCCTCACCTTTGCCGAATGGAATCACTCAGTCGGTGGCGGGTAAGTGAGCTTATCATTCTCTGCAAATAAAATTGGTCAGCTGTATGACTATTTTCGGACCCCTTGCAGAAGTGGGGCTTTTATCTGTGTCCTTCATTGGGTACATAGATAAAAAAAAGAGAACAGCTACCACAAATAAAACACTTCGATAGATCTTTATCTTTCCATTTCTTTTCTTTCATTTTGGTAATGTTTCATATGCACTTCCTGTTGACTCATTATCTAAGCACAGCAAAAGCTTACAGGAAGATCATATACCGGTAGTATTATGTCGGGTACAGCTCGGCTGACTCAAGTTTACAAGTATGACCATGAGATTTTGTATCAACTTAATGGTTTCATAAATGTCTAGTTATGAAGCTGTAGGCGAGGGGCAGCACATATTACAACAGGCATCTGACCCTTTCTGTTTACAGACAAAAGCAGCAGTAGTCACCGCCACACACTGATCCATCACCACAAGGGGCCACAGAAGCCCATGATGGCCCAGTCCGCCCTGCCTGGCCTGCTCTCTACTGCTCAGGTCATCACCTCTAATAACAACCCACAAGTTTGTGCTAGTCATGTCTTCACACAGCTCGCTCAGCTTCAGGTCAAACCCGGGGCCAAGGCAGGACCCAACAAGGTCACCATGCAACCGGTGTCCTTGACATTTCCTTTGACCAACTTGGGAACAGTGACTGGTCAGCAGCCTCAAACGCACACCCTGTTTATTACAAGCAGTGACGATGGCACGCGACACGAACTTCAGCACCAGCCAGTATCCAACTCCCCGTCTAGTCTCATGTCCTAGCGCAGGCTAATGTTACAGTGCTATACAGTCACCTCTGTTGTCTTTCACAAAGTTCATGTCATGACTGTCTTACATGGCCTTAGTGCTTTATGATATATCTAAAATTCAAACATCATTCATGGGCCTAACATGTTAATTGAAGGTGTTGACAGTTTTGTTGAATGCCAATGATGAAAATACTGCATTGAAAGAATTGAATAATCATTAGTCAAACACTGGATGTCTACGTATATAATGTTCATTTTCGTTCTTCATTGATTTGTTTAAAGGTGCTTAAAACAATGTTATCTTGTTTTCAAATCTGTTAAATTATCATATTTTGTGTTCAAACAGTAAACATTAAATCACATTTTGGAGACATGCAAAATTCGTCTAAATAGTATAAGATTATAGTTATAAACTTCAACAAGATATTGGCTGTAATAGACTGTTTTGAAATCATTATGGGGAAAGTGTGTTTCAAAATGTAAATGAATGGCATCCATGCTGGTTAAGCTGTCAAGAGGTGAAATAACATTGGCATAATAATACTTGTTTCAGATACTGAGCCCTTCTAACAAAATCACTCAACTCACTGTCAGCTTTGAGGTGCAATTCAATCTGAATGACATCGGTATTGTGACAATAAATCTTAAACTGAGTTAACCTGGATTCAATTAAGAACAGCACAATTGACATCAAAATTAAGAATCATAAAATAGTGCCATATTTTGGAAGACATTTAACCAATTTGAAACTATCCGTCATTTGCACACAACTGATGAAGTATAAGAACTGTTGGCGATAGAAAATAACTTCGCAACAAATGCATTTTCATTTTTTGTCTGGGTTACTTATTTGTATATCATGTGTCTGAAAGGCCTGTTGGACAGTCATGATGGCAAAATTCCTTTACTGGCTATCAAGTCGGTTTGTGTACATTCATTCCATGGGAGATGTTAATAGCTGCAGTACAGATCACTAGGCATAAAAACTATTTGCTGGTGGTTTATATCCTGACAGATTTGTACAATGAAAACTCTTTGCTCTGTGGAAAATGAGACTTTAGATTTTGAGTTACATTTCTTTGCAATTTGAACAATACATGCTTTATTTTGTTCTGGATGATTTAACAGTGCCGTAGTTCTGCCTAAACAATATAAAATACCCTACTTCTGTCTAAACAATGTGAAATGCCCTACATCTGCCTAAACAATGTAAAATGCCCTACTTCTGCCTAAACAATATGAAATATCCTACTTCTGCCTAAACAATGTAAAATGCCCTACTTCTGCCTAAACAATATAGAACGCCCTATTTCTGCCTAAACATCTGATATTCTATAAAAGTAATGTATGTAATATGTACCACATCTCAATTTTGTTGATCACTTTAGCTTCTGGGTTGTTTTGTAGAATGATTAATAATTACTAAAGTCAAGACTGCGAATAATTTGCCATTCCTTCCTCCAAAGAGCACCTCGTGAAATAGCCATCTTTTTGTGCTATGTTTAGTTTGTTGTAATGAGAAAATGAGTTTTTGGTTGAAAATTGTACTAAAATCAGTTTCTTTTTTATGCATTAACCAGAAGTGTGACTGGAGTAATTATTTTCTTTGTCCATCTTTCTTTGGAAGGGGGGGGGGGGGATACATTTCAATATTTAAAGTTATGAATGGAATTATACAGTATCTAATTTTACTTAAGTTATTCAGCAAGACTAGAGGATAAGTGTGTATGCTACAGAAGTACTTATATGGGAGTGTTTTTGTATAAGTTGGCGAAAATGTTTTGAAAAACATTAATTTCAGAAAAAATTATTGAAAAACATTTTTGCATCATATCACACTAGCAGCAGTGCTTACCAAGACATGAGGAAAAAATATGAAGGCTGAAAAACTATCAAAGGTCACAAGTTAACTTGGATGCAACATCCCGAAAATTGATTCAACTCTTGGTAACAAATGGATTATAACAAACTTGTTACATTTGTTAACCAAGATGGAATGAAGGTCACATGTCAAGATCAAGGTCATAAGGCAGAAAGGTTTTTTTATATATCTTTATTTTCACAAAGTAACATGGCATAAACTGCTGAGGCTGAACAGAAGACTCTAAGATTTCAAGATGTTTTTTATAAAATTTCAAAAACAGATTTTTTGCGTTTGTTTTTCTCCAAAGCCTTTGCAAACCGTTCAAACTTTTATATGAAAGTTTCTTTATTTTCTAGTTGATAAATATTAAATAACTAGTTTTTTTTTTTTTTTTAAATGTACTAATAAATTGAATGAAAAAATTCACTATTTGCAAGGTTTAGTGGTTTGATATGGCAGGTGTTTGTCTTTTTGTATTGTTTAATGGCTCGAGGACTGGGTTGTACATGGGTCTGTATGATTGAGAAATTGATGTTTACTTCACATGTGTGAGTTGTCTCCCATGTTAGAGCTTATTTTTCTTTTTTAATAGTAAACAATTTACTGCTGTGGAAAAAAAAGACAAGTGATCCTGTTATCTCATAGGTTATCTGTGATATTATCAGTATTGGAAACTACAAGGATGCAATTTTTCATATCTCATATCAAAAGATTTCAAGAAAGGAAAAAGGTATTTGTAATCTCATGTTCTCTATTGATGAACACATTGTAACATTGTAGCTAACATTAATATTTAAGTATGGCTACTTTGTAAATATCCATGTATTTTTATTTGTAAACATTTTCAGTATGTATGAGGAATTATCCTATTTATTATAATAGATGGTCTATTATGTCTTGTACATCCTTAAAATACACATTGTCTTGTTTAAAGTCAGTTTTTCATCAGCTCCATATTTATTTGTCTATTTCAATTATTAAAATGAATGTCCTTCCATATTTAGTAGAAAATTACAGAAGATGTATTTTGTATATTAATTATGCTGTTTTGTGATCTTGTGTTTCCTTTACCTGCCCTAACATGTCAAAACATTTTGTGTATGCTATTCCCACCCTTATTCAGGTTTATGGAAACTCAGTATCTTTGGTAATGCTAAAATACTCACATTGCAGAGATGATCTCAAATTTACCTAAATATTTCAGGTACACATTACAATTTTAAGTAAAATATCCTAATCTTCAAAAAAATAAGTTGCCGTAAGCCTTGGTCATCTTTTGATAGACTTGTTCTCTCCCTTGTAACAGAGACTGGTGTGGGTTTTCACATTATAGTGCTTGTTCAGAAACTGTTTATTATCAAAAATTGAATAGTATTATTACAGTGATAGATTTTGGTGCCTTACCAAGGCTTTTAAACCATATTTTTGCCCAACACAACATTGTTCTGACAGGTGGCAAATTGACACGGTATTAAAGTGGAGGGAAAATGACTTCCAATTCACCTGTTCAATTTTATTCCTGAAAATAGAATAAACAACGAAATGTCCTATTTCTAGTCAATATCTTATTAAGAGTTGATGTGTCAAAATGGAGTCATAAAACCCAGGCTAATTTTTACACCACAAAAATAACAGTATGCACAAAACATTCTCGGGTGTGCAGATCTGTCACAAGCAGAACGTGTCATTACTGGTAGTCTTATTAGTTTGAGGGTTAACCCATCATAACACAATTTCTACATAAGTATGATCAGAAATTTCAGATGACTATATTAACATATGTACCTACTTTTATAAGTTAGACATAAGTGTTTTTGCCAATTTTGTTTCTGTGATGTATGACAAGCAATGGTAGCTATCAGATGGACTATTAAAGAGATTATATATGGATGTTTGAAAATGCAAAGGAAAGCAAGCTTGATAGATCTGGCGATGTGTGTAAGTGTGTGTGGGTGTGTTGGATGACAGGAAAGTCATTGTTTAGTCAAAGGTATACCCAATATAGGTTTTGAAATATTGACAAATGACAAAATGTTTTGTTTTTTTGTTTCCATCGTATCCAGCTGAATATTGATATTTTTAGGTCACCTGAGCTTTAGCTCAAGTGACCTATTGCTATCCGTTTTCNCAGTGTTGTTATGATTTCTTCGTTTTATTTTGAAAGTGAAAGTAAAAATTCCACATGATATCATATAGACTCTGTACTAAGTAATGGCTGCACACAGCATTTTGAAATAGCCTTGACAAATCAACACAGCCAGAATGTTCATATTATCTGAAAATTCAAAAACAAAATTTCAGTTTACAAATATGTTTCGAGGAATGGTTCATAATTATATATCTATTCTTTGTGACTATTGACAAAATTACAGATATGAATTTCAAAAGTTTTAAAGGGGGCTGCAATGGCTAAGTGGTTGTTAGGGTGTCTGACATTCTGCTACCACTAGCCCCCCACCACTGGGTCACGGGTTAGAGGCCTACGTGGGGCAGTCGCTAGGTACTGGCCGTAGGTCCGTGGTGTTTCCTACGGGAACTCAGGCTTTCCTCCACCACCAAAACCTGGTGTGTCCTTAAATGACCATAGCTGTTAATAGGACGTAAAACACAAATAAACCAGACCAAGGGTTTTAAAGGAGTGCAACAGTTTACAAGATATCACAAATTTCAGCACCATTATCTACGCAATAATTTCACGCCATGAATGTTTGGAGGAGTCAAAAGATAAAGATTTCTACTTTCACAGTATCCCAAAGCTTGTACGACATAAATATTGAAGGTCCAGCTGACAAATCACTGTACAGTTGAAACGTAGGCTTTGTATGAAAAGGTTGAGTGTTTGTGGATTGAATAGCGACAGTGATAGTGGAGTGAAGATGGTTTGTTCTTGTGATAAGCCCAGAAGACCATAGACAGACACACTGGGATTGTCCAGTCTTCTGCATTACAATGAATGGAGCTCGGCTGTATATAGTTAAAATCTGAGCCATTTTGTTTATTGAGTGCTTGTCTGTAACAGGCTCAGCTTAACGTGGCCAAATATTATTTAAGGGTTGTTTAAAATATTGTGATAATGAAGTTTAAAGAGGAAAACTAAACTTTTTTTTTCTAATATGTTGGGTATAATATAAATCTTTTTTTTTCAAAGTTTATTTCTAAATAGATTTTTATTATAAACAATTTACTATGGTTGGTTTTAAGTCGCATAAAAGAGGATATTCAAAAATAATGTGAAAATGGAGGTTATCTTGTTTCGATTGAGATAATTCTAAATACCTATAGTTATTTATCCTGATATCAACTTAACTATATTGATTATACAAAACACCTGATATTTACAAATCAAACATGAAAAATAAGGATTTTATTTATGAACTGAAACAACTACATTTATTTTCATTATTTAATCAAAATATGGTCTAGGTTGATTTCTTGCACAAATTATACCTGTGTTTAAAAGAAAAATGACAGAAATTATTTAAAATGGGCAGCCAGGTTTTGCTTGTACCTACATTTTTCATAGATGTTGACTTGCACCAGAGCTTCTCTGGCTTCGTTTAATGAATGGCAAAGACTGTCACATCATTCAAAACAGTGGAAATGGAGAACAATGGTAACATCTGCTAAATTGCACAGCTTGTACAAGTTTTAAATGTCATTTGTCGAGAGTTCGATGGAACCCGGTGTGCACCAGATTTTGATGTCCTTATCATGACAAGATCAAGGCATGGTTACAGTAAATATCAAAATGTGTTTGTGAGGAATAATAATTCTTTTTGTTTTGATGTACATCTTGACCTAGACTATCATGCAGATGACAGATGTTGTAATAGACTTAAAAAATAATAATAGCAGTGAAAAGTTGAATTCTTCAGAGAAAATAATCTCTTCATTGAAATAACAAAACTAGTAATTTTAAGTTTTTCACAAAGCTCTATTGTTACTTTAACTCAGCTGTTGATCTTGTATACAGCCATTTGTATCGCAGTGCTCCTAAACACAAGGGAGCACTTGCTGTCGCTCATATCAGAGATACCATTGTTCCAAGTTTTCCTGAGTGTGTATTACCTCCCAGATTATATGCAAATATTAAGTAAAGCTACTTATGATTTTTAGGTCACCTGAGCTTTAGCTCAAGTGACCTATTGCTATCCGTTTTCGTCCGTCGTCGTCCGTCGTCCGTTAACATTTTACATTTCAAACTTAAAGTCAAGTTCTGCTGGGCCGATTGAACT